TCAAATCCTGCCTCAGACACTTACAAACTGTGTTATTTAAAGAACTTATATCCCAATTATCAGTCATCACGTCCTCTTCATGTAGATCGGCCAGACTGACACGAGGATTAAGCATTTGATGTTTTAGTTTTCAACCTGGAGCCCTCAACTATGCAGTCTGTTGTTAAACTTGCCTTGTTAAATGACTTGTTGGCATGAGTAGGTACTGAAAATGGGCACAAAATCAATATTCATTCACAGTCAATGATGACAATTCAAGGTCACTATTGACATTATTTACAACCACAAAATTAGCATATCAACACTAGCAGAGTTTAAATAGCTCGGAGATGCCCTGAAGCCCATCCTCTCTTGAAAAAGGATCTATTCTTCCAGTCGTCTGTCTTAGGTAATATTTCCTATATAACAACTCATTTTTTGTTCTAACCTATCATGGCATGGGCATCTTATCTATGAAAAATGTGTGTGAGGAATAAAATAATATATATTTTAGATAAGAATGGTTTATAGTGAAATATTGATAGTATTTTAATATTGAACCTATAAATATTGGGTTTGGGGAAAGGGAGGTATGATAGAATTATAGTTCTAGAACTAGTAAAAAAAGAACCCAGAAGCCATTGAGTCTAATCTAATCATTTTACAGATGAGGAAACTGAGACTCAGGCAACTTAAGGAACTTGCCTGAAGCCTCATGCTTGGTAAGATATTGGAGAACTGCAAATGACCCATTTTACACAGAAGGCAACATGGATTCTCTAAATTTTAGTACAATTTATAGGGTACTGGAAATAACTGAGCACAAATCTGCTAAAAATAGAACTAGTAAAAAAATGGAGTAACTGGCCTATCTGGCATACTTTTGTCCACTTGAGTCTTTGCTAGTCTTCTCATACTCATTCTGAAGATTAGCTCAGCTGTTGCTTTTCCCTTTTAATGTCACCTCATCACACCACTTCACTCTCCTCTCCCTTCTTTCCCAATGCAGGAATTTTGGAAGTTTTCTCCTGAAATGACTTGTTGTCCCTTTAAAGGAGTGTCACCTGTTTAACTTACTCCCCTCCTCTGCTGCCCAGATACTCCTCTCTTCTAGTTTTCCTTCATCTGCTTTGTTCTGCCCCAGGGTTATCCTTTACTACTCTTCTTTTCACTACCAATGTGTTTTTACTTTTCTCTATTTGGACTCTTTCCCTTGACTTTTTCTTTCCACTCCCAAGTGTTCCCCTTAAACATATTGAATATTATTAGGTTTAGCAAACAGTAAATTTACCACACTTACCAAGTTGTAGGGTTTTGTTGTCCCCAACTTATATTTTTTCAAAATTCATTTAACTCAAGGTTTTTTTTTTATTATTATCTGGTTTTGGAGTAATGCCAAGTTTTTGTTAGGAGTAAGTAACTACAAAGATTGAGTGACAATATGATGTAATGGAAAGTGACAATATGATGTAATGGAAAGAAATTAGCCATAATATCATGACATTATGTTATCCCAGTTGGTGGAGCACTGGGTGTGGAATCAGGAAGATTCATCTTCACGAGTTCAAATCTAGCCTGAGACACTTACTAATTGTGTGACCCTGGGCAAGTCACTTAACCTTGGTTTGCAATTTCTACTGATGAGATCATGTTCTCTCTCCTGAGCTCCAGCTCCACATAACCATCTAGTGAGCTATTGGACATTTGGAAGTGGCTGGCCAGTAGTCATTTCAAACTCTCCAGGACCAAAATAGAAGTCATTATCTTTCCTCCCCAAGCCCACCCCCATTCTGAACTAACCTGTTTCTATCAGAGTGGGAGAGAGGAGCGGGGAAAGGGGAAGAAATGAGAATTTATGAAGTACTTGCTGTGAGTCAATCACTATGCCATGCACTTTATAAATATTATCCCTATCAAGTACCATCCTCCCAGTGACACCAATATAGAAATTCATTCTCACCCATAAATATTCCCTGTCCCCAAATATCCAATCACTTACCAGATTTGGATCATTCAGGGTCTGCCACATCTCTCACATCCATCTCCTTTTAGAAGAGGTCAGGCCCTCATCACCTCTCACTTGAATGGTGACAGTAGCCTCCTTATTGGTCTCCCTGCCTCTAACCTGTCCTTTCTCCAATCCATCCTTCACAGGTGACAATAGGATATTCCTCAGGCACAGCTCTGACCAGGTAACTCTTGTGGTTCTTAAATTCCAGGGACTCTAGGATGAGATATGACCCCTCTGTCTCACAACCACCTCAAATCTTAATTTCCAGGCTTTTTATATACTGCTTACTTTCATGTAGAAATATAGTCCAGCAAAACTGGCTTTCCTCTTACTGTGTTTTACACATGACTCTCCCGCCATCTCTCTTCTCCATGGCTTTGCAAGGCTGTCCTCCAAGACTGGAATGTATTTCCTCCTCATCTCCTTATTCTTTATTGTCCTTATTCCCTGTTTTGAATGGTCAAACAAGACAGCACATAGTAGCCAGTATTTTTATTACATTTTAAAATTTACAAAGCTCTCTAGGAATATCTCTTTTCATCCTTATTACAGCCTGGGAGGGAGGTGGGATTATTACCCTAATTTCACAGACAGGGAAACTGAGGGAGGCAGAGGCTGATTGACTGGCCCAGAATCACACACCTGATGAACGTCTACCGATCACAGATTTTCCTGACTGCAGGGTCAGCTCTCTCTCCACTATGCCACCTGGCTGCCTCAGGAGAAGTCACAAGTATTTTTAAAAATGTAAGTTTCTTTAATGTGAGCTGTTGGTATGATATTACAAGTGTGAATTCCTCACCTAGAGATACGCAAAGTTTATTTCTATGGAATTCAGTTCCTTCATCTGTAAAATACATTGTAGCATTTACCTTGCAAGGTTGAGATGTAAGGATGAGAGGAGATAAGTCATGTAAAGGACGTTGATAACTTCACAGCACTAGATGCATGTGAGGTACAGAAAGCCAAAGCAGATGAGTGAAGAAGTCTGATCTCTCTCACTTACCCTAGCTCTGCGACCCTGGCATATCTCTTATCCCCCCAGGGTCCCAGGCAACTTTGTAGGACTCTCGATTGCAGAGAAGATGAATGGATAGAATTTCTTCCTCGGGAAGGACTCTAGGCCAGGGATACCTTGAAGTCAAGGTCTTTTTCCTTTCGCCTGTGTACACGATCTGCTGGTGTTTCCTAAGGCTCCTGAGCACAGAACTTACGAGAGTCAGAGAAATATTGCCCTGAGTCTTAAAGGGATGGCCCAGTCAATCTGGATACTTCAGCATTTTCTGAGTTCCCTCTCTTCCATATCAGGTGATTTGGGATGAATGATATGGACAACGGTTAGGGATGAATGATATGGACAACGGTGGTCGTAAAAACCGAGGGTCATTAAGCAGAATGAAAAATGCTTCTGTCTCTATCTTCTTCATCTTCCCTACCTCCTTCATCCCTCCCTGCTTCTTCTTTTCCTCCTTTGCTTCCTGTCTTCCCTTTGGGCTACTTCTTTCTATCTTTCCTTTTTCCTTCCTTCCTTCCTTTTTTTCTTCTTCATTCCTTCTCTCTCTCTCTCTCTCTCTCTCGACTATTAAAGGGATTTGTTTCATACGACTCCACATATCTGTGATGGACTTTGTTTTCTTTCCTTCTAAAGTGAGTGGAATGGGGTAAGGAGAGTATTTGAAACTAAAAATAAAAGGAAATTGGATTTTAAAAAACATTTCTAAAACCTCATGAAATGTATATGTATACATATAAATATATGTAGGTATGTATGTGTGTGTGTGTGTCTTTGTGTGTGTCTGTCTGCATATAATGAGACAGAAAAAGCAAGAGAGAAGAGAGAGAGGGAGACAGAGAGAGAGAGAGAGAGATACTTCATGTGTGTGCAACAATTTTATTGATTTGGTGTCCTACATCCAAATTCTGGCTCTGATGATCACTGGCTACATAGTGACAAAACACCTGAGTTTCTGAGACTCGGTTCCATCATCTGCAAAATGAAAACACTAACATTTGCTCATCAGTTTTTGGAATGAAAACACTTTAAAACTCAACAGCACCAAAGAAATGGGAGTTAATTTATTTATCTAAGTTCCTTCTTCATGGAAAAGATAAATATGACACAAAGAAGAAAACAGACAAAAGGCGGCAGGTATTTCTCTCCTCTGCATTCCACAGGAGCCTAGAACCATGAAGCTCTTCCCCGTAGCTTTTCTAATGGCTCTCCTGGCTGTTCAGGCCATAAGTACTTGGGTGAAGGGAGAAGGGGCTAGTATTGGGAGTGATCGATCCCTCTTTCCAACAATGGTCTTTTGGCATCTGGAGACTTAGCTTTATATGTGCATTTCCATGTCTCTGGATTAGTACATTTTATTTGTTTATTTATTTTACTATCTGTATTGATCTATGAAGAATCTAGGAAAATTCATTGTTGGCTGTAGCCTCGGCTAAGTAGCTATTCATTTTACACTCCCAGCTTTTTCCTGACAAGATCTATATTTCCCCAAACAAGAATGAAGATAATGAATGTTCATCTAGCTCTTTGGGGCAAAATTCTGCTCTTCCCTCAGTGTAGGGGTAACTCAGTCTATAACCCAGAGAGTTAACTCAATTCACTGCTTGGGTTTGGGGTGATTTTAATCCCACAAACACACGGCATATAACTGAGTCTATTGATGTTTTTCTTTTCCAAAGAGAACTGACGATTCATCTGAAGAGGTAAGACATTTTCAGATAAATGCTAAGCAGTTTAATATTCAGTAACATATATCCTTAAAAATATTTTTTCTTTATTTGAACAGAGTTATTTTGATTGGCGTCATCACTATCCGGTAAAATTATAATTTATTGTGTTTAATTTGTAATGTATTTAACATATTGCAATTTAATAGTATATTCCTTTATCTTTAACCTTCCCCCTCCCCCAAATATCTCATCCCTCTCCATTCCTAAACAAATAATGATTTAAATAAAGCAGAAATAGATATTGGTTTCATTCATTAAGTGTGAGACTAGGGGTTTATAAGCACTGATTACACAATCTCTATATACTTATTTTCTGGATTCATTGATTGGGATAGAATCACTACATTAGAATAATCATGTTAAATAAGGTAAAATGTTTACTATCAGAAATGATGTCCGTATTCAGTCTCTTTTCCCTGCTTCCCTAAACTGTACATCATTTTGCCAATGATTCTATAGGATTTCACTAACTCATTCCAAGAATAAGAGACATCAGAGGTGTTCTCAGGACTTATGGATGTTTTAGGGGTCTCTGCTTATTCCTACAGTCCTAAGTGATTTACATTTACATGTCCAGGGCCTTGCACAAAGGGAGATCTTAAGAAATATTGGCTGAATTGAAGTGGTTTGGTTTGATTTGGATTTGGAGCGTGATGAGTTGACCTACCTCCTCAAATTCAGATCTAATTATGCTCCTATTTAACAGCTTCTGGTCCCCAAACGGATTTCTGGCCACATTTTTGTGGCTAAACAGAATTATGTTTATACACCGGCTTGATGGTGCCCATGTCACTAAACAACAGGGGATTTTTGCCACATTGTCTATGTAATGGTTCAGTTCTCCCTTTCATTGACTCCTGCCTATATCTGAGGAATTCGAGTTAAATGCATTTTCTCAAAGAACTCATAGCTATCGGATTGCTATACAATATTCATTTTATTAATTTTTCATGTCACTTAGATGGGTTTTGGTGCCAACGTCCTTCAAACATGACAATAAATTCACTAGATGCTTTGAAATTGTTCTTTAAGAAAGATTTCAGTTTACATCAGTGAACATTTCCCTCCCCAGTCACTGTCATCATTCTATCTCAGTCATTCAGGTTTCAATCTTCTGCTTATTACCTCAGTAACACTGATCAGGTCCCTTCACTTTCCCCATTATAAGTTTCAGTGATGATGGACCAAATTTCTAAGGTCCCATCTCACTCAGTCTAGGAATCTCCTGCTGCAGATTCATCTATAAACTTTGTTTCTAAACTCTTTCCTTCAGAGGCCACAGTGTCTCTCCCATAGTATCGGAGATCTAGAGGTGGGAGGACCCTTACAATCCATCTCATCTAACCCCTTCATTTCGTAACTGAGGAAACTGAGGCCCATCAAGATGAAATGACTCACTCAAGTTCACACAGGCAGTGGACATTAGAGGCAGAGTTTGAATCCAGGTCCTTTAATCCTAGAGGTATTTATTTCTTTCCACTATATCATGTGTAAGAACAGAGGAGCCAGTAGTTACAGTAATGACCATCGTCTTTGGTTATCTTCTCCTTGTGGAATCGGGAAAAGTCTGTGCTTTTTCTTTTTCATCTTTCTCCCAATGGAGTCAAGGAAAGTATATCGTTTGCTGTTTCTTTTTTCATTAGTGAGAGAATATAGAAAAGATAACTGTCAGAGCTTTTTTTGAAATCAGGAACTATGAAAAGAATAACTGGTATTTGGGAATGAGGCTTCTCCAGTTTATCAAAGAAATCATATTTGAAGAATTTGTGAGTGCTTTCAGGTTAGTTGATTGAGAGATTTCCTGTAATCATATTAATGATTCCAAATATATACATAAGTCAGGTCTACTCAACAGCTCCAACAGATGAGTCATGTGATCTAAATAACCTTGTCATGGTTGAGCAGTTGTACAAATCCTGTTACATTTGTATATACCTATTTTCTTCCGTGTTATCAAGGATACTAAGAAACTGACAATATTATGAATGAAGTAGAATGCCCCAACTTTATGTCTTGCTATTTTCTCTTTCTTTTATAAGCCAAATGTTGAAGTATTTCTCCCGAGGGTTCCATATCTTCCATATCCTGAAAACTTTCCACCTCCATTTCCTGGATATGGTCCAATTCCTGTAAATCCCCCATATTAAGAAATCCCCAAAATGCTCTCCAAGGAGGACCTCAATAAACACAAGAAAAGATAAGTTGTGCATACTGTCAACATGGTGGGTAGGTGGTGCAATGGAAAGAATACCTGTTTTTGCAGTTAAAAAAAACCTCCTGGCTGAACTTCTAATTTACCCCTCAATAGCTGAATGACCTGAACCAGCCAGACTCTGAATGCCTCTTTTCCTGCAGAAGGTTTTGCTGAGTCCATTCTCCATTGGGTTACCAAAGGATACACCTAAAACTTAGCTGTGACCATGGTGCTTATTCAATTCCCTGCCCCCTCCCAATAAATTCTAGTGGTTCTACTATGTCCAGAATCAAATATAAAATCCAAAATATAAAATATAACAACCTCCATGGAGTTTGCTCCTGAGTAGCCTTAACAGCTCATAGCAACAATAATAGGAACAGATTGCTCCTAAAACAATATTGTGGAATAAAACCTAACCAAGGCAA